TAATTACACCCACACACACACACATTCGCCGACTGGCAGACTGATACACGCACACAGTGACCGATTACACCCGCAGACCGCAATACATGTGTATGACATAATATTAATTTTTGTCGTCGACAGAGACGTCGACGTTGGCGGCGACGCGACGACTCCCCCATTTCATTTTAAGCCTCAGTCCGTTGTCTGCCCCCTCCCACCACCCCCTTTCTGCGACCCCCTTTGCCCCAGGTCACTCTCACCGTTTCGCATTCGCAATTTGAATGAGTTCCAGCGGGTGCAAGAGAGAGGGCCTGCTTATTACAGCACTTGATGATGGCGCTGCAGTTTTGTTTAGATTTCTCTGGTTTTCGTTATTGCAAATTGACGTAATGGCCAGCGGGATAGAATGGGGCGAAGGACAAGTAAGATAAGGTAAAGAGAGAGAGAAAAGACCCGGCTTTTCTGCTGACTTTATTAAATATTTAATTCGTATTTGTGAGCTTAAGTATCCACGATTCCCAGAAATCGAGGCTAAGGAATATTTATATTTATATAAAACATCTGAGAGCAGGGATTTATATCGTTTATGGCTCGGCAAGAGTCACTCATATTACTTGTTATTATTTAAAATATAAGATGAGGTTTAGTGCATTTTTTTACTGTTTATAAAGAAATAGTTATTATTGTTTTAAATAAACTAATTGAAAATTTGCCTAGAAACGTTTATAAATTCAAACTTACTACTACATTCTCCATCCTTATTTTATAGATTGGTTTGTGCTCAAAGGTAAAAAGACGTCGATATAAATAGCAGGTGACGGAACATCATGCATATCATCAAGACTGACTTGATAAACCCTTTTTCCGAATAAATGTCTGGCGGTCGGTCAGGGTGAATCTAATCTAAGTAAAAAGGCAATTTCCCTTTATGGCGCTATGGGGACTGTACCAGACCAATTCAAAACAAATGCCTTGGCATCGCCTCTATGCTCGATGCCCATACGTATAGTATATATTGGTATACTATACGTTTTTATCATCACGCCACCAACAATCCAAGTCCACTTCCACTTCCAATTTCGCGTCCAAGACTGACCGAACCCAAATAAAACGCCTGACTCAGATTGAGATTGCCCAGAAAATTTCCAAAACTGCCCAGACGCGTTCGTCAATGTCTTATACTTGTCTTTTTGAGGGGCGCGTGCCAAGGTTCCATTCAGGTTAGTCGCGTGTTTTTTGGCGACCCGATTTCGGCCACAGATTAGTGATAGACAATGATTTGTGGAATCAGCCTCCCAAGAGCTGCAAAGAGTGCGAGTATGTTTTGGTTTTTTGGGGTCAAACGCTTGCGCTTTGCATTGGCAAATTTTCCATGCCGCAAAGCGTGCGCTGCGATCTTATCTGCCGGAGCGAAGTGAATGGAGCTCTGAGAATCGAGGAGGTTCTGGGACAGCCACGAAATCCCCGACGACGACCTGACCATGTGATCAGATCCGATCGCTAAAAAACCCGAACGACAGATGGGGAGAGTCGGTGTTGAATAGAATGGGGCTTACGCTCTCACGAGCTTTTGATCGGAGAAGCTTTGTCGATCGGCTAGAAGAAGTTGCTAGAATATACCCATAAATTATAGGGTATAGAAAATTGCACTGAAGGAAAATTATGTTCTCAGGGTCAAGATAATTAATAATTAAAAGAAGAGAGGAATTAAAGTAACTAAGCTATAAATATCGAGACATAAGGCAGGAAAAAACTCCTTTTAAGCGAAAGAGCGAGATATCGCTTTAAGTTTTTTTCTGTGTAATAATAGTAAAAGGTGATTATTGCTCGTAAACTTATAAATACAAATTCTCGGTCCAGAAACATATTATTCCCACCATACCACCTGAAATCTTGGTGTCTGGAAATTATTTCTGAATAAAGAAAAGTCTTTATGTGACGACCTGTTCTTATCAGGCCCTATTTTCTAAACGTGAGCGATGAATGACAACCTGAGACTCCCTTCCACACCGTGTGTGCTCTTGCCGTAAACGTTTATAATTAAACTAGTCTCTGCCTCTCTGCTCCATCCTCATCATAATCATAATAATCATCATAAGGCACCAGCCACAACTCATTTTTTATGCGGCCCAACTATATCATGAGGGTAAATATTTATAGTCGCCTGGTAACCTCGTCTTTCCTTTCCTCCTGATAAGAAATAACGAAGCCGGCGACACGATGACAGTGCAATTGATTGTGATTGTGGGGACGACGTCGTCGCTTCTATTTCACCAATTCTGGACAGCAGTCCATCATGGTAACCAACTGAAAAGTATGCCAGAATCGGACCAAAAGCCAAGGGTCTCTAGAATTTGATCGATACCCGGATACTTGATTAGTCTGATATCAAAGGCAATAAACGCCGACCCAAGATCCAATGGGGTCAGGTTTTGGAGTCATATCAATCGCTGAGTTTATACAGGTTTATCTGTGGGGAAGTCGTTTGGTGGAGTGACAAGGTGTTTAGGGGGTATAAAGGGGTTTGGCAGCTACAATATATCAATTAGGCGGCATATGGACTTGGCTAATTAATGACAGCATGCTGTGTAAATTTGCTACCTGCGCAAAACAGTGATCACTCTAATGACTAATTGTTGGTTTTTTAAAAATATTTTTGATAAATTCAACTTCCAAAATAACAACTAAAAGTTAATTTGAAAATCTGAATTTAGGTTAATTAAAATAAAATTGTTTCTATTTTGGTTTCCTTAACGCGATCTCACTGTACCATGTGCAGTTTTAATTGAGAGCCGATCTCAACGCACTCCCTCTTTCTCTCCCTATTATTATGCGTGTGTTATTTACCGCTATTTGCCAAAGACTCCGCCGCATAGCAAACAAAAAGGCACAATAAATGGCAAAAATAAAAAATGTCCAAGTAGGGAAACCAACTTGTAGTAATCAGGAGGCAACATCAAATAATTTGTCACATGGGGGGCTTAATCCGCGAAAAAAAGTACGCAAAAAGCTTTCGCTACACACCCACCCAGCGCTCTCTTTCTCCCGATCCCCAACCCCGCTCAAGTTCTGGGAGTGTGAGTGAGAGGCAGAGCAAACAAAACTTATTCGCACCTTTACCATTGCACGTGTTTTGGTCTTTTGTTTTTGCTTTTCGCGGTGTCGTGAATGAACCGGAGTAGGAGAGAGTGGGAGAGTTTGAGTGGTAGTGGAACTTTGGAACGTACCTCTTACGGATAAATCCATGATATTCTCCCTGGGCTCGCACATTTGGGGCTCTCTCCGGCACAACCGATTACCAATCACCAATAACCGATACCGATACACACACGCGCAGCAACAACGCTTAACTGAAACTATTTTCGAAAAGATTAAATCATTTTCATGGCGGCGCGGGGGAGCTTGGAACACAAATTGAAAATCAAAACAAGAGCACCTCCCCGCCGTCCGACTCTTACAACTCCATGTGCTCGCTCTCCTTGGCTCTCACTCGCTCTTTCGCTGCAGCCGGTGGAAATCACGTGGTTGCTATCACTGGAGCAGGGGGTGGCGCAGAGCGGGGGAGAGCGCAATTTGAGCGCCCGGCGAGTGCCATATGCTCGTCCCGCTCGCACCCGTTATATAAGGCTTATGTAACAGAGAGTCGCAGAGGCATGCGCACATGGCAACAGTGGGAATAAAAATAGAATCGAATATGCTTTATAAATATTAATATGTATCAAGCCAAAAAACTTCTTAACAAGGTGGGATTAAAGTAACGATAGCACTTTGAGTTCAATACATTTGAGTTTTAAATTTCGTTACTAGTTAAGAATAAATTAAAAATTATTTAATTATCTTGCGATAACAAAACTTGATCGAAGAACAGTTAATAAAATATATATATTTTATTTTGTTTTTTAATATAAGATATAATATTTCATTTTGTGATACAGAATATTAATAGAATTTCATAAAGAATTTAGCAGAACTCGGAAATAAATATAAGTGAAATATATTTACTTTATTAGTTAATTCTAAATTAATGTTATTAATTTTACAGTATTATTTCTTTGGTTAATGTGACAGGAAGGGTTATGTGCACAGTGCGTCAAAGGGACTTTAGGCACCTCGATTCTGATAAAAACCGAAAGATCCTAGCCCCAAAGCTTTATAAACAGGGCCAACACATCAACGCAACGCAATCAAATTGATTGGCAAGCTGTCCCCCCAATTTAGATACCACATAAGGCAATGGAATTAGTCTGGGTATTATAAAGCGTAGGAATCAGGAGGGGTACCCTTCTTGGGTATCGGGACAAATGCTAATACCGCCGGGGAAAGGAAAAGCATAACGAATTTTGATAACCAAAAGTCGCATTATTAGGTCTAAAAATAATGTGTTGTAATGAGTTTAAATGTTGTGAAAATAACGAACGGTTTCTACCCTTCATTACAAAAATATTGATGTTTGTAGTAATTTTAAAATATCAGTGAAATTTTCAAAATAGAGTTGTTTAGAGCTATTTACGTTGTTTAAGTTGTTATTAAATTCGAAATTATAACAATACACTGCACGAAAATTGTGAACTTTTTGGCTGTAGTTTGACACGTTGAAATGTAAACTTTGTGGCGCCATTGTGGCCAAACATGGCAAATTTTTTAGTGATCTCTTCGCCAGAGGGCGCTAGTAGATCCAAAGAGTATTCCCAATTTAGCTATTTTCTATCTATATCTAGCGTTTTTCAATCGACAAAGGTAAACAAAATATAAAAAAAAAAGCTTTTCAAATAAAAACTACGTATTTTTAGTTTATTACAGATAAATAAAATAAATAAATAACTGCAGCACTGATCAAAAATAGATTTTTGCCAGTTTGCCACCTTATTATTGTTTCCAATGGCAACACTGGTTGTTGTCAAAGTTTTTGTCAAAAAATCAGCTGTTTTTTTAGCTTTTTCCCTTGCAATTCGGCTTTTTTAGCTGTTTTCTTTGGTAAATCTAGCTTATTTAGCTCCGAAATGACTTCACTGAAAACAACAAAAACACTCGAACGAAGCAGACGCGCAACAACCCGCGGACAGTTGGAAAAAGCGTTTGAAATAGATAATGATAATAAAATATTAAACAAAGAATGTGACGCGCAAATGAATATAATATTAAATAAACAATAACTGTGTGTTAATGCTGAACAATCTTTGGAAGCTATAAGAAGTACTTGGAGATAGGTACTACGAAAGATCTTTGCACATTTTTGTTGGTGTTGCGCGGGCTTTATTGAATCCGGCTGAAATTGCAATTGATTTCTATTTAGTTTGAAGTTTCCATTTATAGAAAAAATTCGCTCAAGTGTCAAAAACGAATTGATATTTGTGCGTTTGTGTGTGTGCGCCAAGTGCGTGTTAGTGCGTTTGCGGATGTGAGTGCGTGAAAAAATGCAATAATCAAAAAGGAAAAAGGAAAAGGGCAAAGGCAACAGAAAAACATCAACAATGCCAATTTAAAACAAGACAAAGTACTAAATAAAACGCGTAATAGAAAATAAACAAAAAGTTTAAGTAAATACCACGTTTTTGAGAGATTGTAATTATGCAAAAGGCAAACATGCAGCAGTTGGCGGATCTCGACTTTGATTTCCAGATGCCGTGTCGCTATTTCAAAAGTTCTTTTGCGCGTTCGCTTTCGCTAAACAACAACAACAATGCGAATGGGAATGGGAACAGCGGCAATTCCTTGACATTGCCCAAGAAAACGCACACAAACGAGGTCAAACCACAGCAGCAACAAAACCACCAACAACAACAGTTGCAGAACTCGCAATCGCTCTCGCTCTCACACTCGCTAGAGGGAGACAGCGATCTGGAGGAGTCTCCCTGCGCCACGCCGCCTCCTGCTCTTCCCGCGCGGCGTCACACCGCCAATTTGATACACTTTGATGCAGCAACAACAGGAGCAACACCGGCTAATCAGCTGCTCTCCCCACACCCCCCACAGCCGCCGAAGTCAGCGAGGAATCTCAATCTCGTCTGGCCAATGCAGCCGCCACATCAGCAGCCGCAGACGCAGCAGCAGCATGTGCAGGTTAGTACAGTGATCACTCTTTAAATTAAACAAATATTCTGGGTTAAAACAGAAAGGGGATATTAAATTAGTTGTTTTTAACAATTAAAAAAAAACTTTGGTCGTAATTTGTTCTCGAATTCTTACCACTGAAAAGTTTTTTTAGATATTAAAAAACCTTCTGGCTAAATATAAATTTTTATCTAACATAAGAGAGGGAGTTTAATAGTCACTATAGGCTTTTCAAAATGTTTCTAAATTCCGAGGTTTGCCTGTATCACTTTTATGCTTTCATTGCTTGGAACGTGTCTCCGTCTGCCCCCTTTTGCTGGCCCCTTCCCCTTCTGGGGGGGACTTTGTTATGTTGCCTTGGCTAAAAAGGAAAAAAAGTTTAGTTTCCTTTTTGGAGCAACTGGATATTTATGTCACCTTGTTGTTTGTCACGTAGCCTTGACAGCCTCTGTCCGCCTCCCTGCTTCGTGTCCTCTTATCCTCTCGTCCTCCTTTTGTGGCCCCCTTCTCCTCCTGGAGACACTTTGTGCCTCCTTTGGTTTCTGTTTTGGTTTTGGCCATGTTATGACAACGTTTTTGTTTCGATACGCTTTTTTTTTTTAAGGTCAATGTGATTTATGTGCGAAAAATGTTCGAATTTGTTGTTGGTCGTGTGTGTGGGTTGGGGATTGGAGAGCAAACTTCACTTGGCATTGATAAGGAGCGATCGTGGGGAGGGGTTGCCTTGAAGGAAGGGGGGGAGATATGTAATATTTATTAAGTGTTTCAATGAGTTCAGTGCTGGGCATCAAGTGGAATTGAAAGTTGCACGATGCTTACTTTGGTGTCAAAATTAATAGTACTTTGAAATATGAAAAAAAGCTATTTGGCATAAAATTAACATTTTATATCGCCATATGATTTTAATAAATTTTCTATTATTTATTCCACAATCATTAATATTTTAACAATTTATATTTGTGAATTTGAAGAACTTGGATTTATAAACTGGATACTTAATGTACAAAATACATTTTAAGTTGTACATTTTGCTCATCTGTTTTGTATTTCTGCATTATATTTTGAACTTGCTATCGATCTTTGCTTACATAACTCAGTGTTCTTTACATTTCCTCTACTATGTACTCCCAAGATCACATTTTCGCACCTTGCAAGTTTCACTTCCTTTGGCTTGAAGGTCTCTGCCATCAACAATCATCACCCTGCACACCTTTGACCTTATCGAGTGGCCCGCCAATCACAATATTTCCTCCATCCATTCGTTCTCAAACAAATATGCCATAATGGCCCAATAGCCCAGCAGCAGCGGTTCGTTGAAAACTCAACCGTAAACATCGGAAAGCAAAACTTTTTTTTTTCGTTTTTGCCTGTTTAAAGAAAACTGCTAGCAAGGTCTGCCGAGCGGCCCAACTTGGCCTAAACTGTAATTAGCCATAGAATTATTGTACGCTTTGCTTTCGTTACTCGTGTGTTTATGTTTTTGGGCCTAAAGCATTCATTAGGGCGTTCGGAAAGCAACTGCGTGCAAAGGTCAGGCGTGATTTAATGATTGGACTGGGAATGGGACTGGGTCTGGGTCTGGGACCGTGATTGTGATTGAAAGGAGGGGTGGGAGCTACATCCGATTTTCGTTTTGGCATTGCCTGCCATGGCAACAGACAATCAACAAGTTTATGGCCTTTTGTCTTGGGCATGCAAACCTGGCAATTGGATATGGCCGAAGCCCCCCCCTCCGATTTTCCAGATGCCTCATTACGAAATGTCGCCAAGATTTTGCGGCTTTAATAGCTGCCTATAAAACGTAATGAGAAAAAGTAGCAGGCAAAACCGGCGACAGCAGCAGCTTATTATTATTATTTTATATTTAATTTTTTTTTTCTCCTCTCTTTCCTTATGATTGTCACTTGATATTGTTGTCTGTTGTTGGACACACTTGAATGGCTTTGGCTCTGGCTCTGGCTCCGTTGTCGCATAATTTGAATTTTTCTAACGCAGCAGCTGCTGCTGCTTTCCCCATTGCAACGTGCAGCAGCCTGTGGTGTAGGAGTCGCAGCAGTTCCATCCTCCTCCCTCCAGCAGAGTTCATTGCATCGGGTTTTCACTTTCGATTGGATGGTCGGAGGAGCAGCAGCGGCTAAGTAAAAACACCAAACCGCATTCGAAGTTTTAGTGGAAGTCGTCGTCGTCGTCGTAGTGTTGACAGCTAGCCACTTCGCTTGTGGCCAACAACAATGGCAGCAGCGAAGGCTGGCAGGCGTGAATAGAAGTCAAATTACGTTGACCTTAGCGGGCCTATGTATTATCCAATCCATCTGCCATTAACCTATCGAAAATAAGTTAAAGTATGAAGAGGCACAAAAAGAAATTTACAGTTTATTTTACTTCAGAATCCATTAAAAATGAAATGAAATACATACTTGCTATGAATACCCCATAAAACATGACTTAACGGTTCTGAGATATATTTTAATAATAGATTTTCTCCTAATTTCTAATAATCTGGTTCGATTTTAAGCTATATTTAAATCTGCATTGGCTCAGTTTTATATATTGAAGTACCTACAATATGTGTGTATCTTAACCTTGATTTCTGGGCTGCTCCCACTTCAAATGTTATAATCATCATCTCTTGTCGTTTGGTGCGTTAAGCCCAAAAGATTGTCATATCGCTGAAATGTCTTCATTATGCCAGTTATAAGACCATGACCAGAGTAGGGAGTATTACAAGGGTTTTTTTTTTTTTGTCATTGGCTAATTGACGTTTAGGGTAATTGAAGGTAATTTCAAAGCGTAATAAGGGATCGTGTATCAAATCACCAAGTTAAAATTGAGGCGAAGCGGAAAATAAATGGACAGGTAAAGATACAAACATATATACAGAGACTAAAAAAGTTGATCTGTCCTCATAACCAAATAAGTAATGTTGATCTTCTTTTGAAAAATTCCCACCGAAATACATTTGTTAGAAAGTTCATTGGCTCCCCATAAACTCCTTACTTTAATGCAAATTTTCAATCGTATGTTCCCATTTAAAATGATACCCATATAAATCTTTAGCTTTAGCCATTTCCCCGAGCTGAAAAATGTAAAAAAGAAACACAAAAATTTCGTATAGCACTTCGTTGGAAATCCCAGGCCTCATCACCGCATCATCGTTGCCGCTAGCATCTTGGGGTATGGATACCGGGGGATATGGCAAGAGTGCTCTCGGCCATTGGGCCACAATTTCATTCCATCTGCTCGTCAATCGTCAACGCCACAATGTAGGGCAAAAACGGGGGGCCCAAGTGGCAAGGGTGCTTTGCAGAAGTGCAGACGCCACTTTGCCCCAGGTTGCATTACGCGGAAAGCGAATAAAAAAGCGAAAAAAATATAAAGAAATACTGAAGCATGAAAGAAAAATTAACGTGGTTAAGCAGAATTTTAATACTCTTTGTAACAAATTTCTAAAAAAAAAAAAACTAAGCCCATGTTTTCTTCTAGAATTCGAAGACATTATTTGGAATTTAAAATCTGTTGAATTGAAAATTAGAAAATTAAATTGAAAATATTAATAACAAAAAGGATTCTCTAATTTAAACAATTTTAAGTACTTTCTAAGAAGCACTGCCTTAAATATGTTAAAGTCTGCTTCTAGTTAAATTTTTAAAATATTAAAAAAATATATTTTAAAGAAAAGACAACTATTACTTCAAATTACAAATAAAAAAGCCAGAAAAACGTTAAGATAACAAAGAATAAGTGGAAACTCTTAAAAAAAAGGATCTCAAACTAAAGCCACCAATCTGTTGTAAGAAAAATCGTTACCCTTTAGCTTTAAGCGATTTCTTTCCCCCAAAAAAGTGCAGCAAAAAAAAGTTACACCAGGTAACTTTCTGCAGAGACTGATGGACCGCCATTAAAAAAAGGGTGACCGAGCGCAGAAGGAAGAATATAAATGTGTCTGTTGATTTTGTGCATTTGGCGCTGGCCACACATACAACGCATCGGGGAGTTGATTGCCCCACTGGGCACCCCCAGCATGCCACCCCGATATCCCCAGGATGGCTCCCACATAAATCGTGGGAGAGAAGACAGAGAGAGAATTTTTTCGACAAGTGTGATATTTATTTATAGCCCGGCCAACTCGTGCGAAAATTGCATGGAAAAAAGACCGAAAAAGAAAATAATGCTAGCGGAGAGAGAGAGAACCGAAGATAAATGCAGAAATGGGTTAACTTGGCTTGAATGTTTTATTCATACACCCGGGCTAAGTGCAATGAATGAAATGCATAAAGAGTGAAGAGCCATAGATGCTGAAGAAATCATAACAATTTCTTTTCTTTTAGTTTCTGTTTCAGCTTCTTTTTTTCTTCATTTTTTTGTGTTTTGATTGAATAACCGTAACAATTGCAACTGTCAAGACAATTTGAGAAATATTTTAAAAGGAGCTTCGTGTCGGGATTGGCATTCCAATTTGGCCTGGACCCAGCTCTATGGCCAGCCAGCTCTACTTAGCCAAGTATTTCCATTTGGCAAGCCTCAGCAAATGCGAGATTGATTGACCGGCTGACTGACTGAGTGATTGACTGATTGAGTGACTGACAGAGTGAACTGGTGGCTGGGCATTTTGCATTTTGGCCTGATCGTGAAATCGTCTTTCATCGCAGCAGTCTCATTAGGCATTTTCCCAAGCCGGAAACTATTTGGCCATAATATTTGGTCATCTTGCCGCTTTTTCCCTCTCCTTTCAGCGCTTTTGGTTTGACACATTGAAATAGTTTTACTGGTTTTCCACTCTTTTTTTTGGACAACTTTTATTTGCGTTTAGGCAATAATTTAAATGGCTCGAAAGCAAGGAGAAAAACCAACAGACAGACCGCCAAAGTGAAGTGCATATAAAATAAAGTACAATTAGCGTTTGGCCATTGAAAAATTACTTCATACATATATAAAAAGAGGCCGATTCAAGTGCCTAAGTAGCCATAAAATTGTCTGAAAAATCTAAGAGTAGGGCAAGCTATTTAAGG